GCGCGGGCGCCCCCAAGCCGCTCCTGCTGGCCCCAGCCTGCAGTGGCAGCCTGCTGAAACCCCATATGCAGATCGGGGGCCCATGCCCCCTGGGAAGAGCTGGAGAAATGATCAGAGAGCTGGGGAATCGAACCAGGAGCTAGATATCAGTATGAGAGAAGTCCTCCCCCCACTCTTAGTTTTTGTTTCCCTGCAAGCTCCGCTCCGAAATTCTCTAAAACATTTCGGAACCTTCCGATTTGTTTCGGATTCAGTGTTTTGGCACTGAAACAGCCCGAAACACCTCTGAAATGAAATGGGTGCTGAAATTTCGCGCAGCCTTAACTGTTAGTATTTCTTCTGTTCTTTCTACCCACATACAGACAAATATCTACTCTATTCAAGGTGTGATATTTTTCTATTGGCAAAAATACAACAGGAGAAACATTCTTTCCTTCTATATTAAGCAGGTTGTGGTATTGCTGATCAAACTAACTGGTTCATTCAGACCCAACTTCATACTGTAACAGATCTGCTAAGGAATTAAATTAATTCCCAGATCTCTTGTATAAGTTCATCAGGTCTCCTTACATACTGTCAAGAGTGTCTTGGATTTTTTTTGTCTAAATTGTGTTACAGCATTTTAAATTAGAGTATTTGTGTAATTTAGACCTGTGAAGAAATTCACTACAGGAATAAAGAATTAATTGATTGTTATACTTATTGTTTTACATAAAGCATTTATTCTGGAAAGTCTGATTTGCCTAATGTATTACAGTGTATCCTTTTCTGTTCTGAAAGGTTATCCAGTTACTTTATTCAATTTTGTTAATTCATATTATTTTCACTGCACCAGTGTTATTCTGTGATAGTTGAGTTTCTGCTGTTTACTGTGTGGTTTGGAATTCATTTGACATCATTGGAAAAAAATTCCCTAGAGCCCGCTCTTCATTATTTGTGGAGTGAATGTCTAAATGATGAACATAGCTATTTATATTAATCCACATTTTTTTCAGTTTTAAGACTATCATCGCTTATATTGATGACCAATTTGAGCGGTATCTGCATGATGAGAGTGGCCTGAACAGACGGCATATTATAGATAACCGTGTCCATTGCTGTTTTTACTTCATTTCACCATTTGGTCATGGGTAGGTATTTCTGGGCCCTTTTTAGAATTCTTTTTGCTTCACAAGGGATTGGACTTCATTCATGCTGCTAACTGTTTTCAAGATGAGGCCAGATGGGTTACGTATAGTCTAGAACACTACCAGTTTTTTAAGTGATGAATTTACCTTGGGAGGGGGTTGAGGATATTTCTGGATGGTGAGTGTAAAATTGTAATTTTTTGCAAAAAGTGCTTTTTTAAAAAAAACAAACAAACACCATCCTCCCCCCCCCTTTTGAGATCATTTCTGTGTTCTTCTGTGTGAAAAGTCATTGTGATTTCTGTTCTTGGAACAACTGCATAGTTGGGAGAGATGTTGGACAAACTTTTGTGCCTTTTCTCACACAAATCCTTGCTTCAGACCCTTCTTGGACCATAACTACAACAGTACCCCAGCCCTACTGAAAATACATTGGCATTTAAATTCTTGAAACATTTTCAATTTTATTTTTAGACTTAAGCCCTTGGATGTTGAATTCATGAAAGCCATACACAACAAGGTGAATATTGTACCTGTAATTGCAAAAGCCGATACGCTTACCTTGAAGGAACGGGAAAGACTGAAAAGAAGGGTAAGTACAAATTTTGCTTGTAGGGAAGTATAAAAATGATTTTCAGTCATTGGGGTACAAATAAGCAAGGAGGCATATTTTTGTCATGTCCCAGCCGAAAAAGTGTTCTCCAATAATATTGTACAGACATAATACAACAGGACTTAAAAGTTTTTCCAGGAAGCCTACACAGCCTTTGCTATATGGGGAGTCTCTGACCGTTTACTTAATTGAAGAATTATCCTTTAAACCAGAGTGTGACACGGCAAGCTCAGGGCTGAGTTTCAAGTTGGCCTGCCTGTCTGTTTAGGGCAGTCCACCCAGTCTTACCTGCCACGACTTTGCCATAACAATGAGTTGGTGGTAAATGTGGGAGGCTGTCCATTACATGCCCCAATGCCAAGGCTATCCACGGCTCTGTACCATCCCTACACCATGGCCCATGCATTGCAGATGGCATCTAGTATGTCACTATGCTCCCAGCCTTAGTTGTATGTCAGGTCTCATTCACTTACACACTCATACCGCCCCCATCTCACTGGGGCCTCTTGCACTCCACCCTCTCTCACAGGGTCTCTTGCCCACTGCATGATACTGTGCTCCCTTCACTCTGCCCTGGTCCCTTGAGCGGCCCTGTAGGCCATCAGGCTTATCCAAGTTACACCTCAGTTAGTGACATATGCAGTCTTTTGGGCCTCTCCCACAACCCTCACCTGGGTAGTGGCCAGCTGATTCACCAAATGGAGGGCTAACTCCACCCTAGCCCCTCACCGGGCTTCTCACACCCTACAACTCTATCTCATTGGGGTTGACCTATCTGCTGCCCTTCTGGCCATCCCATGGCCTTAATCAGCACACCCCCTTGGGCTGCCCTTCAGGCTGACCCTCAGCTCTACTCAACTCCTGTCAGGGCCTTCACTACCGCCCCCTCTCTGGGCATACACAACTATCCCCTCCCTGGGGCCTCTGAGGTCTTTCACCCCTGCGGGTTCAAGTGGCCATAGTTGTGCCTGGCCCCCTTACCTGCAGTGCTGAGAGGGCTGGGGTTGTTAAGGTGCCTCAACCTGCCTTTCACCAGGGAGGTAAGCAGTCCTGGTATTTGAGTGGGGCTGCTGCACCACCGGCAGTCCCACCAGGCCTCCGTTTCCCAGCAGGGTGCAGTTTTAGGTCATGTCCAGGACCAGGAGCCTCCAAAACATCCCCATAGCTCCTTCCCTTACCTCCAGGATGTTCCATGCCGCAAGGGAGCTAGATGGTGCTGCTCCCTCAGCTGCAAGCAGCTAGCTGCTGCATCTGCCTGGTTGACCTTTGTTTGAAAATAGCTGCCTTAATCAGGCACCTGTCCTGCCTGCTCCAGCCCTTAAAGTGGCAGGCACCAAAGGACGATTGCCACACAGTGGTTCTCAGCCTCTTTAGATTTGAGGTACCTCTCGATAGACTTGAGGCACCCCTCTTAGTTTTCACTCTTTTTTTTTTTTTGACTACCGAAACATTAGAGCAATTCTTCCATTGCAAAGAACTTAGAAAAACTGTAGTATGTCAGAATGTTTTTGATGCTGTGACGTCCTCTTTGAAATCTCTGGGTTTATCACGTGAATCATGTTTGCACACCTACCAGAGCTAACATTGCCTGGCACTCCACAGCAGCCTTGAAAAGATCTTAAGGCACCTCAGGATTTTGCAGAACCCTGGTTGAGAATCACTGCTTTTAAACATTTTCAGTAACCCTTAGATTGACTATATAAATATTAACTTGGTAAAAAGATTTTCTGTGTTCTTGTGGATTGACTAAACAAGTTGCATGCTGGAAGAATTAATTAGCTCTAAATAAATTCTGTCTCATTGAAGTAGGAGACCTGCATTATCACTGGAGAGGAAAGCATCTGACTCTCAGTAGCTATTTTGCAGTTTATTCTGAAATTTATGTGGTTTGTCCTTTTTTTTCCCTTGCTCATTGTAAGTTTTATTTTACCTATCCTAGACACAATTTTGGATTATCCCAGTATTGAAAAGCTTAAATACTTGATTTACTGAGCATAAATTAACCAATAGCCAATTATACCAAGCATTATAAAGTTAATGTATTTAACGTGTTAGGATGTTCTGTGGGTGCAGTCATAAATTTAAACACCTTTCTCCTTCTGTTTCCAAGTTGTTGTTGTTTTTGGGAGGGGGTGGGGGTTGTAACTACTTTCAATTTCTTTTGCGTTCTGTATAGGTGCTGCTGAAATTTTGTAAACTTAAATTTTTTGTTGAGAGGTGCAAAAATAGTGAAATTCAACAGTAGTTGTTGCTCTTACACTGTGCTTTCTCCTCTGTCTGAATAATTAATCTTGCTCTTAATGTTGGGAACAGTAAATAGTTCTGAGTTCTGTTTAAAATAAATTCTTTGGTTTTTCAGAAATTTTGAATTATACAATTTTTTTCCTTCTTAAAATTCTTAAAAATTGACCTTAAAAATTCACAGTATTTAAAAGTAAACATGGTTAACTTAACCTGTTGATATTGTCATGGGGGGGGTAGAATTTAGTATTTTGAAAGGAGGAGGGTGATACAGATGGTGCATCATCACGTAACACAATACATTTTTCCCATTAAAAAGAAACAAGAAGTTTAATATGCTAGGCTCCTAGCATAACATTATTCTGTTTAAGATTCAAGGAAAAACAATTATAATAACAGGCTTTAGGGGAGAGCTAGATACTACCTTCAGGATGAGCCAGTCATTTGGTGCCAGATGTTACCCCCATTCTTCACTATGAACAGAACTATTCCCTGCACCCTCCCCCATGGGTCTACTCCATGGCTTGGCCCCAAAATGCTCCTCACTGCCTTCTATGCATTGTTCTTGCCCCCTCAAATTCCCCCCCCCCCCAGGCCCAGGGTGTCCCTTGTTATTCTACAGGTCCTCCACTCCCCCACCACCACTCCCAGCTCAGTTCTAGCCCATCATGCCCCAAGCCACATCAAACCCCACCCTTCTCCCTCATACTCCACTGAGTCTTACCCTGTCCCCACACTGCCCCCATGAACACACTGCACCCTGCAGAGACCGATCCCCATCATACACCAGCCTCCCTGACCCCTCATCACCCCACTGAGCCCTCCCCCTGAGCACCCAGACCACATTTGCAGTCCCTCAGCTACAGTTCCTTTAGCTTCCAACCCTGCTCACGCCCCTCAACTCCATGATACCCCAGCTTCTCCTTAGTCCACGCCCCTCTACTACGCAGGCCCCTATTCCCCTGAAAGCCCCTTGGTGCCTTTGGCCTCCCTTCCAGCCCTTCACCATATCTACGAGCCTCTTCCCCCTCAGAACCTTCCCAAAAATTTTCCCCACCCCCCATGATCCCCAACCACAAGGTAAGTGGGAGCATAGTTGTAACTGCTGCCCTACCTCCCAGCAGCATGCCCATAGCTGGCTTCCACTGTCCTCCACCCTCAACATACAGAAACAAACAGCTGGGCTTCAAGAAGGACTTGCTTCAGCTGCTTACAGCACCCATACCTGAGGAGTTCAACCCTTCTAGGTCTGCCCATGCCTGCATTTATGCCTCCCACAGCCGCCACCATTTGCTGCAATGAATAACCCAGGAAAAATCACTGCAATAACTTACCTGTTTACTTCACCTTTGCAACTTCCTCCTGCCTCTCATTGTTGCACCCCCATACAGTTCAGCTTATCTTCAGCCCTGCCCCTTCCCTCCCTGTCTCTGATTTGTTGTGGGTTTGAATCCCCTAAGAATAAAGCCACCCAGTGCAGGTGTGTACCAGGGACCCTGGTTTTCTTTGATAAAATATCACAAATTCTCTGATTTAAAAATCCCAAAATCCATGGTTAAAATTAAATGCCCCCAACAGACCTGTTGGTGTCCCTCCCTCCCCCCCACCCTGCAGCCCTGCTTGTGCCCTTTGCCCCCCATCCACAGCCCCTGCACCCCAGCCATGCTTGAGGGGGTCCCCAGCTGCCAGGGCTATGGGACCAGGGACCCAGGTCTGCAGCCCCCCGCCCC